TCTTCGAATTTGCGGGCGTCAAGCAGCTGATTAACTCTCACCGCTACTACGCTGGGAAGGCAGCTTGACCATGAAGCTGGCTTTGTGCCTTCTGATTTAGGGTGTAGGGTTTAGGGTTACGGTTCCTCAGATGCAGCCTCTGGGAACCCCCAGTAGATTCCTTCTGGTATTGGTAGTTTCCATAAACAGGGAGACCCCAAGAATGCTTGTTATGGGTTCCCTCCCAAGGTAGCCCTAATTTTGGGACATTCTAATCCGTACAATCACCCGTAGAATCCCAGTTTCCATTTGATGCTCCATAACATTTTCCATGTGATTCTCCACTCTCGGGGGATAATATCCTAGGGTTCCTCAATAGTTTTCATTTTCCTTTCCAATACAATCCCTAAATCATAAACCCTACATCCTAAATCCTAAATCCCGCAGAGCCCAAGAGGTAGGAAAGCTGAGAATGCTGCAATATTCGTTGTAGATTTTCTCCGCCAACCTCAGGCCCGGCTACAGAGTCCTCATGTCTGCTTTACCCTTATGGTTTAGGGTGGAGTGTAACCCCGACAGTTTCTTTTCACAAGATTTTGCATTGTAGGCCTAAGGGGATTACGAATGTTGGCGGTTCCACGAGGAAGGGTGATCCCATTAGTTTCCATGGAGATGCCCCCTGCATCAGTCAAGAACAGGCTTGGTCGTATTCATGTAGGTACCCATCGGGATAATACTAGGGTTAAATTTGGTTTTTATGAGGGCTATATTGGGATAATGGAAAAGAAATGGAAGCTACTATGTATGGGCAATGCGAAAGTCAACCGGAGGACATGCGCGTCCCTTGCAAAGTTTGGCCCGTTTTGCCCAAAGACGCAATCAAGTCATTAAAGGTCCCTGAACCCTAAACCCTCAAACCCTAAAGTCCCCCTTAAGAAAAGTAGAATATGGCTTGGGGAAGATTTTACTAAGCTCCCCATATACCCCATATTCTATCTACTCAAGGGGGACTGAACCCTTGAGCCTTAAATTTAAAGCCCTAGAGCTGACTGCCCTGAGGGCCTCCGATACAAGATCACAAGCAGCCGAGTCTTGGGCGGTTGAAATCTCTTTCCAAGAGCTCTTCCTCAAGATTGGCGATGAATTCCCGAGATGCTGAAACACTTACCATTACTACTATTCGTACTATGACTATTACTGCTGCCAGTACTATTGCCTACATTTTGCGCTTTGAGGGTGAGATTTGTTGTTTGCGAGTTCTGTGAGAGGGCGCATTTCTGTAGTATGGGCGTTGTGAAGCATGTGAGTTTTAGGCCCCTTGCCGAGTCCTGGAAGGTACCGGTCTTTGATTCTCTGAATACCCTGAAGACAGTCTACCGCAGAATTTGCAGCCCAGCGCAGACATCCTAAACCCTAAACATTCCATAAGCAGGGCCGGAATGCGCAAGTGATCTTTGCCAGCCCCGACTTGGACCCTGACTCAGCACAGGAACAGGGAGCGTGGGTGCACTGCAGCTGCCTCCGTAACCCTGCTGAAGCCTTTGTCCACCTGGGCTATGGTAGTTTTCCAAAATAGGGGACCCAATATAGATCCAACCAAATCTAAGAATCCCGATTCTGGGAACCACCAAAAAAGTTGCCCCATTTTGGGAAATTCCCCTATCTTGACGGCGGTTTTTTGATTTGAGGATTTCTTTTGGACTGCACAGTGGAGGTTCATGTACTTTGACTTTGGGCTGGCACCATCTTTGCCTGTAACAAGTTGTAGGCAGTGCTGTTTCCCTGCAAGTCTTAATCTATTTGAAGGGACTTTCCCTCATGGTCTTTTCCAAACGTGTTCGCAATACATAATGTTGCACTCAGGGAGCACTTGGAGAATAATCTGGAAAAAAGAAGGAGCCCTCCTAGACCCTCAATTAGGCCGCTGGATGGAAGTTCGATTTCCACCACGCGCAGCAGTTCGACGACAGAGACGCCAAGCTGCAATCCAGCAGTATCACAGGCTTTGGGGCTTAGAATTCACTGTTAGTATCCTGGGTGATCGCCTCCCCCCAAAATCCCCTAACAAAAAGGTTCAGAGTCTAAGGTTCAGGTTTTGGGATATTACTCCAACATTGGAAAACCAAATGAAAAAACATGAGAAATGACATGGAAGCTGGGGATGATGAGTATACATATATATGTATTACTGGCCTCCCCCCGACGTTCCTGAATACATCTTTTTGCATTTGTAGCAAAAGCTGCCCCAACACCAGGTTTTTCATTGGATGCAATGTCTGAGCACATACATAGAACGGAGTTGCGAGACACGAAGAAACATGAGCCAGCCAAAAACATCATTCGACGTGTGCAAGGACATACGATCACAAAGCATCAACACCAGGAAAGAATAACACAGAGACACTTACACGGCACCCGCCAACTCTGCAATCGGAGATCAGTGAACTTCACAGCCATCACGCTCCCTGCTTTTGGTTCATTGCTCATACACATCCATATCTTCGAACGCCTCTGCTCTGCAATACTCATGGTCACGCAACTGCCCCCCATACCAACCTACCCCCTCAAAGGTTCCTTCGGGTCATGTAGGGAAGTAGGGGGGCCCCATGAGCTAGCGAGATTTCATAGCAGCAGCGTGTAGCAAGGGCTCTACTGTGATGGAGGACACCTAACAGGCTTGACAGGCTTGCCGCTGCGTTTATAGGGATGCGCTTGGGGTTTGAGGTTTTAGGAGAACTTCAAAGTAGTCATGAATCAGGTAGATAGTCAAGCTGTGGCAATCCCTGCCTGAAAAGCAGTGGTCCTTGACCTTCAGCATGAAGTTGTCCAGGCGGAGCTCCGCAAGACTAGCCGCAAAAAGTAGAAGCTACTGTGAAGGGTCCATGAAGCTATATAGTAGAAACTTTGGCCCTGAAGTAATTATATGGGAACCCCTCTGGGCCCCAACTACGTATTGTACAGCTACATGGACTCCTTGGCCCTTTTTTCAAGAGGGGGTGAAAGTAGGAGAAGTTGGACACCCGACACAAGAAGAGAGCTTCGCACGCCAGCGCTCATGAGTTTGAATGAGGTTTCTCTTGTTAACACTACCGGGGTACTTGGGTCAGGGCTGCAACCCAGACCCCCGAAAGGATCCAAAAAATGCAGCCCTTCCAATATGAACCCAGTACCACATTGGGGTAACTAGGTGTTCTTAGGGGGTTCCTTTTTTTGGATAAACCCTAATCCCTAAACCCTATATACCCTTATATAACCCCTATAAACCCCCCCTTTTAAGGGGTTCCTTTTTTGGATCCTTTAGGGGGTCTGGGAAGTCTATGAGCCTGAGGTGGTCCCGCACAACTGAAGTCACAACAACTACTGGAGATGTGAGCGGCTGCAGCGGAAAGTTTGGAGGTCCAAGAGCTAGGGGTTTAGGGGTTAGGAAGCAGTTGACATTTTTTGCCTACAGGCAACAGGGGTTACGAGCTTCGTATGTTTTTGGGGCTCATGTTGGTTGGTTCCTGTTACATGGCTTCAAGCATCAGATCTATTTAGAACTTACTATTCTTTTAGTCCTTTAAAGGGAGTCCTTTAAAGGGACCCTATGTAGGCCTCATAGCCCCTTTGAAGGAACCCATAAACTGTAGGTCTGACATGGGGCAGCTAGGCTGTTTCAGCCGCTCTGCCCATGTGGGGATTATAGTGGGGTTCTTACCATACGGGTCCCTAAGTCAGCTTCCCCCATTCTCAAAGGAACAATTTTTCCAAGTCCCCGTTATTATATGTGATCCATCTTTCCCTTCCACAATGGCTACTGAAGCGCTCATTGAACAAGGGGTGCATGCCTCTCTTACGTACAGATCGTAGTCGGGCTCCTAAGAAGGGCGAAGGGGGTATGTTGAGACGTCCAGCACCGCACGTAGTAAATGTCGCTGGGATCAATACAAGCACATGCTGCACCTTCACGGCAGACTAAGCCAAGCTGCGCACAGTCTAGAGTCTACAAGCCCAGACAGGATTTGCAACCCAACGCAGCTTGTGCTAGGCTGCTTGTCGATGCTTGGCTGATCTACTCAACTCGCATCTCCGGCCGGTGGCAAAGACATGAGGGGCGGCACATGGGGATATCCCTTCCAAACTTAATCATATTATGGGTCCCTGTATTTGGGTTCAGATTAGTATTGGGGGGGGCTGTTTAGATTGCCCCCATTGTGGGATAGAAATTTAGACCAAGTCCCACATGCGATTCTGCAAGCTCCACAGCCGCAAGCCAATTGCCCAGGAGCCTTTGCTGCAAAGATGCAGGGTGGCGCTGCTACGAGACTGGGTTGCTGTTAAGGATCCCTATATGGTGGGCTTAGGGTTTAGGATTCCGGGCTTAAGTTCCTGAACAGCAACCCAGGAGAAGGATGAGTACTGGGCACAGTGCCGAGAGACCTGCACGCCAGGCAAGGCTTGCGCAATGCCATTGTGACAAGGATGCCAGGGTTGCTATGAGCGAAGGCTTTAAGCCTCGAGTTGTCATTATTTGGCTGAGGGTGATGGTCCCATGATGATGATAAAGATGATGAAGAAGAAGCCGGGAAGGAGCCTGATGCGGGACGCTGAAGATGTCTGTCGCTGTTTTTTCTTATCTCCGTCAACCATTAACCCCACCACCCTCTCCTGATGGCAAGTGATGCTTTGGTTGTTGCACTCGCTGCACCTCGCCGCGCAGGCATTAATCCAAATGAAGAACCGCAATATCAAACTCCATGGAGACTTCGCTGATGCATTCAGAAGGAAGACTTTTTCTTTGCTTTCTCGCTCCTAGCACTACTCCTACTCCTCATGCTGCTGCTAGCATCAGTCCTAGTGCGTTTGCTTGCTCGGCTTTATTGCTTGGTGGTCTTTATTCAAGACCTTGCTGCGAACAGCAAGTGCCTCCAGTTCGAAGGAAGTGCGGTCCCAAAGCTTCAGAGGGGGCACCACAGCATAATACAGCATTTCCGCCAGAGCCAAGCCGAATGTTCGTAAGATCCCTCACTCACAGCGCCGAGGAGCTGCAACATCCTGGGACTCACCACGGAGCCTGCGACAACAACTACAACCGGCCGGCTCATGCTTTAGGGGGGAAAAGAGGCTTCTGAGCCCATGTTCTGCCGCGCCGCACGTAGCTGGAAACCTGGCAGGCATCTCCACTACAACATCGACAAGCGTTGCAAGTACAACCACGTCAATGGCAACCACTGTAACAACGACCATGGCAGTGACGACGACAATGACAACCACCACGGCTGGGCCCTCGAACCCGGAAAAATGAAGACGTTGAACATGTTCTGCCCCAATTTATAAGCGAATTGTGGGGCAAACACATGCCCAAGGTGACTACGGCTGGGAGCTTCATTCCGGTGGACGGAGGCAGCTCGCCACGAACAAGAGATGCCACAACAGGATGCAAAACCTTTCTAGAATCTTATAGATCTTTTTAAAGGGCACCTCTGGCCAAGGCGTCGACCGCGTTTGCCGCGGTGACAGCTCCAGCGACAACGATGACAGCTCCTGGTTCTGCGATCTACCAATTATTACCACCATTAGTGTTACATTGTTGTATTCTATTTTTCTTATTGAAGATTGGCGGCGCGCCGGCGTGAAGAAAGACTACGACAACAGTGCACAGCAAGGCACAGTCGTCTAGGGAGGTAAGGTCTCAAGCACAACTATTGCCGACACGTTCCAACCACCCTTGTGGTCAAGGAATCATGTGCTCCAGCATGCCGAACGTCAAGGTCATGGAGCTAAGGCTACTACATTTTTCACAGCGGCATTGGCTCCATCGCTGACTGTAAGCTTCTGTGCCTAAACACGAATGGCTGCAAGGGTATCGAGTACGACCCTCGGCGACAGAGCAAAAGTTGAGATTTGGATGCGTTGCCCGGGTTGTGCGCTCTATGCCTCTATGAGCCGGGTAAGAAGGACATTTACATGCGGGATCTGTTTCGATGCTCGTGCTCAAAGTCCACGGGCATTTGCAAAGAAGCCGTGCCATTCTCTTCCAAGTCCTGGGGTTTCCTGTCAGTTCCTGACAGTTTCCCAAAGGCTCCGTGTAGGTCTACAGATAGCATATACTTAGGCCCTATAGTATGTACTGTATAAAGTGTTCCCAATTTTGGGGTACCATTTTAGGTTCCCATAATAAAGATAATGGTATATTGGGGTCTACATTGGGGTCCCCCTACTTACTCAAACAATTTGCTGTCCTACATGGACCTTCCGTCTCCGAGATCTTGGCACATGCCTTTCCCCAAAGAGTCCATGTAGCTATAGAGTATATACTTAGGGCCCAAAGGGGCTTCCATACAGTTAGTTTAGGGCCAATGTATCTGCTATAAAGCTACATGGACCCTTTGGGTTGCCCTTCTTTACACGTGGCTGTGTGTATCGAGGTTGCATGGAGGGTTGTACAGCGCTTTGAGTTTCTTTGGCGCCACAGTGGTTTAGGCTTAGTTAGGCTCGTGCCGAAACCTTCAAATTCCAAATCCTCTCATGTTTGAGAAGGCATCATCCTTTGCCGACATTGGAAGATTAAATGCGTACCCTTTGGTCTCGATGTACCGCAGGAAGAGTCAAACCATACTCGGTTGGACCATCAGTCAAAGAAGCAATATAATCCCCATATTACCTAGATATATAGCTTCCATTCATTGTTTCATGTTCTTTTCCATTTGGTTCTCCGGTGCTGGGCCCCACAAAGCCCTGGACCCTAAATAGCAGCTTCCAGCTTCTTTTCCATTAGCCCTGTAGCATTCCTCTATAGATATCTGTATACGTATATCCTTATGCAAACCATTTCATAAAGATGTATATATATAGAGTATATATACATACATTTATGTATATATATATATCCTTATAGAAACCATTTCATGAGGATATATATGTAGTATATATACATGCATATATATATATCCTTATATAAACCATTTTACGGAAAGTACTTGCGTATCTCAGGGCTCCAAGAAGTGCGAAGTCTGGATCCGCCCTGGTGGTATCAGGGCCACCAAAACTCTCACAGGCTACACTTGCCTCCGCTACACAGGCGCGGGTAGAGGGCTTGCCAAGCAAAAACAATGTAGGAAGGAATGTTTGTTCTGTTTCCTTGAATCTTGGAGGGTATCGGATGCTAGCTTTGAGGACCCGCTAGCCTAGAGCCTGAGGACCCTACAACGACCATCATCATCTAGCCGAAGATTCAGAAATGTGAATGACACTCCCTATATAACGTTGTAGACCTACTAGCTTCCATTTGATTTTCCATGTTCTTTTCCGATCTGATTCTCTATTACCATTGTGGGGCCCCAAAACCCTAAATCCTAAATAGTAGCTTGGCAAGCGTCAACTGCAGGCGCAAGCCTAGATCAGGTATCTCCTGCATCGAACTGGATTGTTCTATGACCCTTGATACTGAAGCCGGAATTGCACTTTATACGTAGGTTTCTGGCAAACCTGGTAGACTTTCTACTGAGGGGCTCACTCATACTAAAATGAGTCTTGAAAGTCTTGACTACAGCTAATCCTTGCTTGAGCCTCCTGAGTTTCCAAGATGGCCAGGATAATCCCGCTGCAAGTATCCGCATATAAAGACTGCAGGCCCCCAGACCACAACCACAACCACAACCACAACCACCACAGCGACCTCGACGACTTCAGCTCCTGTCCTCGAATTTCGTCCTGTCGACGGAGGCTGGAAGTTAGCGGGATAAAGTCCACGGAATCAGAGGATCGCAGGCGCGCAACTTCCGCAAGACTTCTCAACCCTTCTGAGCTCTGCGGCCCTTACAGGGTAGAAGAAAGATCAACTTTCTTTCACAATCCGCTTACTCATGTTTTTGTATCCTACTTCATCTTGCAACCCACCTAAACCCGAGCTTTAAAGCCTTTGCAGCTGAGGGCAGGGCCGTGCCTGTCGTGGTGACTCTCCGGGCGACAACTCCGCAAGCTACTACCAGGCCTGTAGCAGTTGACTGTCTCATTTTGCGGAATTGTGGACAGGCTGTGTGTGTTGAGACTGCTACTTTGAAGCAGCCCCACAAATGACAAACTTTGCGCATTTTGGCTTGTGTCTTTTTGTTGAGCCATGGCTGACTCAGAACAAGCCCTGCGCTCGTCCCAAATATTGGTTGATGATGAAACACCCCTTTTTTCTGCGTATCTACATCCTGCCTGAAGCATCTTCCTTGTGCATATTCTGACCCTGCACCGTCCTGTCCAGCACTGCTGCTTTCTATCGGGCGAGCCTTGTCTAGGCTACTCGGGCCTGCTCCCCCTTGGCTCTTGAAAAGTCACGCTTGCTATTCAGACTTGTGCAGCTGCGTTGCTCATCTGCGCGCTGTATCTGTATGGTTCCTGTTGTCAAACTGTTTCATTCTTGAGGCAGTCACTCGATGTTCCTCGGTTGACTAGATTGCACGCCTCTGAAATCCCAGTGCTTCCTGCGGTCACTGCAAGTGTCGTGCTATCCGTATCAGCCCCCCTCTTAGTCTTGGTGCTGTGTGATACCAGTAGCGTGGTTATAATTCGGCTCCGAGAATTCCTTAGCACTGCCATTGTCGGAGGTGTAGCATTGTCGCGGAAGTTGCTGCCACTGCTTTTCTGATTGGTAACACTTGTAATACCACAGCAAACCTTTCTTGTGTTCTTGGTCTGGTCATTCTTCATACCTGAGCTCCACATGCACTCCTCCCCCCTACTCGAGTTTCACATGTCCTTCGCCTAGCAGCTTAACAGCAGCAGCAGTACCACCACCACCACCACCACCACCACCACCAGCACCACCACCACCACCACCACCACCACGACGACGACGACTACTACTACTACTACGACTACTACCACCGCAACAACAACAACAACAACAACTGCTGGTGCCTGGTGCATCTAGCACTAGTGCTACTGCTGCTGCTCTACCGCTTGCAACCAGTCCTTCTCAATCATGCTATTCGCAAACTTTTATGATATGTTCACCGCCTGGCTTCTGTATCACATCTAGAATACTAGACAAATGCTGGTTGGAAGCTGGTTCTTGCAGGAAGTTAATCACTCTTCTGGTCTGAGGCAAAGTTCTGGTAGAGGGGTGAAAGGCAGGGATGCATAAGAGGATTGCAACACCCATTCCATGGAACATGAAGGAAATCATTTGAAATCGAAGTAACCTTGCTTGTACACCCCAACAATCAGCAGATCCCAGTGGAGTAGGAAGGAAAGAAGGCCCAAGGATGCTTCGGTAAATCCACCATGTGGGCATGATTCAGCAGCTGCTTGCGTCAGGTCAGCAACGACGCCAGTCTACAGGCCAGGTTTCTCGCGTCTTTGACTTACGAATTGAAGGCAGAAACAATAATCTTGTATCCTGTGATCATGTAAGTTGTTTTTGGGTTCAGATTGCAGGGGAGCACACGCTTGGGAGGTGAAACGTACCTTCGAGGATGCCCCCAATCGTGCTCCTAAGAACGGGGTTGGTTTTGCAATCAAGCTTCGCCTGCCCTGAAAATGGCCTGCCCCTAAAAGGACCAACCCCCCAAAACTGAACATTCTCCAGGACTCCCGGAAATCGCTCTAACCCAACTTCTCGTCGAGCATTCTTCTGACAAACCCGCGTAGGTCACTTAGAAGTTTCTATTTTTGGAAAGGCATCACACTGCGGCTCAAATGCGTGTATCTGAAAAAGGTGGCACATTTGTTGGTCAGAATTGTCGCAACTGTAAAACTCATAGTAGCTCAAGAGCCACTAGAGCCAACATGATTGTTCCATTGAAACTTGCAAGGCAGCCACAGCCTAAAGTGCTTGAGTTTATATGCCGGGATTATACAGCACAAATTGGGGGAATGGAAAATAACATCGCAACTACTATTTAGGGTGTCGGCTTCCGGGATTCTACTATTTAGGGTTTAGGATCTGGGGATTCAGATGGAAAACTCGATTGACAGCCAGGGCTGCCAGTCGCAGTGCAAGCTCACTGACGGTTGCACTGGCATCGAATATCATGCTTCCTGTTTGGCAACAAGTTTGGAGTGTAGGGTTGAGGGTTTAGAGTTGAGGTTTCAGGGTTAAGGGTTTAGGGTTTAGTGAGATCTTTTGTCCTGGTTTTGTAGGCCTTACGTACGGCCTGCCTGCTGCAGATAAGAGACCCTTGAAACCCTCTACACTCCACAGGAAGTGCTAGCATCCTGTGCTCGAAGCTAAGAGCCCAAAGCAAGCACTCTTCCCTCAATTTTTCCCTTCACAATAGATAGGCCAGTACTCGATGGGAAGGACTGTGGTCTTTGCGAGCGGATTGTGGGCCTGAGGAACGTGGCCGCTGCGAGATTTGGACTCGTCCAGAGGGTGTCCACGCCTCCATTGCACTGGACGGCTACACTTGCCTAAGCTATGGCAATCCGGTCCGCAGTTTAGGGAGCACTTGCCTTTCGAAAGGGGCACAAGAAGCAGGTTTCAGGGAATGCTTGCCTGTCATGATTATGGATAAGGCGTACGAGAAGAAGTATATCAAGCAACCAC